GTCATAGGGTTTTTCCTTATTTTAAGAGAAAGTGGAGAAGTGGGTTTTGTGACTGTTATGGGTCCTGTTTTTCAGCTTTCAGTTACTGTTTTTGCTTATTTAAAAAGGCCTCTGCGTATTTGATATTAGAGTGGACTTTGCAGCTACATATTCTTCACTATCAATTGTATTTCTTCTGTCAGTCTTGTGTTTTTTTATCAGAGTAATCGTTGTGATAAATGTGTGATTGTCTAACCCTAACCGATCGAAACCATGATCAAATTGAGTGTGCAAGTGATGTTATAGTAGTGATATCACATGATTATCACACCAAATCGTTTAGTGGATTTTGTCCGTAATTGTTGTGATAAATGTGTGAATGTCTAATCCTAATCTATCGAAACAATGAGTAATCGTTGTGATAAATGTGTGATTGTCTAACTCTAACCAATTGAAACCATAATTAAATCGAGTGCGCTGTTATGATAGTGGTATCACATGATTATCACACTCATATCACACCAAATCGTTTTCGTTATGATAAATGTGTGATTGTCTAATCCTAACCTATCGAAACAATACGAAATCATTGTGATAATGTCTAACCTAACCCATCGAAACCATGATCAAATCGAGTGATATTAATATCACATGATTATCACACCCATATCACATGATTATCACACCTAGTCTAATTCTAACCTATCGAAACCATCCGAAATCGTTGTGATAATGTCTAATATAACCCATTGAAACCATGATCAAGTCGAGTGACATTGATATCACATGATTATCACAACTAATCGATTAAAAACATATTCAAAATGAGTAATTGTGAAAGATACCTTGAATAAACTTCTTCTTGTTGTTCGATTGTTGCATGCAATAGCTTCTCTTTAATCGATTAGGGTTCTTGATCGATTAAGGTTCGTGTTCTTGGTTGATCACAGTTGTTTTGCGAGTTGATGTTACGACTTCAAAGTCTCCTTGAATTCTTAACTGTTTATTAGATAATGATAATCATGATCGTGTAATCGTGATTTTATGATACCATTTCCGTTATTACCCTTTTAATTTTAATATTTTTAAATTTCAATTTTAATTTTAAAAATCTTTGAATTTTATTTTTTATCACAATATGAGGTTATTGAGTTGTTCTCGCGTTCTTGTAAATCACAAGGGTTCTCGTTTGAACCATTCCCTATATATATATATATATATATATATATTGGTCTCAACCATCGAATTTGTAAATAATACAATTAGCATCTGATTCAACACTTAGCAAAAAGAATTTCTTAATACTTGTTTTATAATCGTTATATCCAATATACATCTCGTATTGGATCTAAAAAAGAGTACTAGCATCATATCCATCTCATATTGGATCTAAGAAAGAGTACTAACATCATATCCGAACCTAACATTACAAAGAAAATGTATTGGTTTAAGGTTTTGGGATCTTAGGGGTTGTTACCCAAAAGCTTACTCGAGTAAGCATTTATCAAATCACATTACTTTACCGGATGAGTATGGCAAAGATCAAGAATCTTATTCGGTAAGAACAAAGGCAAGGACCGAAAGTGTTACACGGTAAGTGAAGGCAACGACTCTCACCATGGTTAACATTTACCGGGTAAATTGTTGCATACGACGTCGTTTAGTGGACTAAGTTCTTACTCGGTAAGTAGGTGATAGTGTTAAATTTTACCTGTAAGCGCTTACCAAGTAAGTGTTTGGGTAAATGGCCCCTTAGTAGTTACCTTCATATTTGTAGCTTGGTAGCATGTTCATATGTTGAGATCAAATCACAGATTTGATAATTTTATGTCTGAATGAAAAAATCCGATTGATTTCGTTAAATAGACATTCAATCCTGATTCTCAAGAACCCATAAATTATTCTAAGTTATTTTAGCATCCAATGTTCCTACTTCATAAGTAGTCTTAGATGGAATCCGATCTATAGCTTCTATTTTTGGAATATAAAATATAGGATTTTTCTTTGTAAAAATCCTGTAACTATTTTTGTTGATCCAACAAAAAGCCTTCAACAAAATCGAATATTAGTTGAAGTGAGATCAAGATCATCACCAAAGAGGATTGGACTGTCATCTAGCTGGAAAATATCAATACAAGATAAAGTTATTTAGTAGTCTGAAAAATAATAATTCTGGCAAGCCGCATTTTGGAGTGCAAACTTATCCAGCAAGTTTGACTCACAAACTCTACCAACACTCATCCTGGTATGGGAACATGCTTAGCCTGTTAGCCAAAGTAAGTTCTAAAATACTATTTTAATAGTATTATATTTCTTATACTATTCCCTCTACATACAAAAGGATGAGTTGGGTAACAAGTGTCTACATCAACGTTAATGCTGAAATGAAGATTACAAACATAAATGGATCAGCAAATCAGATAAAGAAAAACGTTAAAGTTGGCAAGCAACATTAATTGCAATTGTAGCTATAAAAGGTCATCTTTGTCATATGTCGCAACCCACCCATTTTGAAAGAACTTCTGAGTGATTATCTCTTAGATAAAATCAGCGTCACAATTTCTAAAGGACCATCTAAGTACTTCAGATCTGAAAAAATACTAGTAATTTGTTATCAGTCAGATTGTTTAAGATTAGGTCTTACCTTCCTAGCTTCCGTA